TGAGCAACTCTGGGAGATAAAGGACGGGGAAGCCTGGTGTGCCGCAGTCCATGGGGTCGCAAAGAATCGGACACAACTTAGTGACTCAACAACAACATTCTAACTAGGTATTGATGCCATGTGAAAAAACTGATTCTTAAAAATATTATTCTTGGACCTGGCTATCATTTGAAGGTTTTTATATTAATTTAATGAATTTCCTTAGGTTTTTCTAGGGAGAAGCCATAATTAAAAGTTAACTCTTCCTTTACCAGTATTTATACCTCTTACATCATTTTGTTGCCCGAGTATGGGCTAGAACTCCCCAAACAGTGTTGAATAACAGTGGTGATAGCAAGAAACCTTATGTTCTTTATTTTAATGGCGATGCCCCATTGTTTTACTGTTAAGCATGATGTTTTAAGTATGATGTTTTACTATTTGTTCTGGGGTTTCTCTTGATTCTACTAAGGGAAAACAGATTTTTAAAAACTCATTAGTGGATATTGAATTAATATTGAATCAAAGGTATTTTCTGCATCCATTTAAATGATGTTTTTCCTTTGACTTATAAATTATGAATATATTTCTTAATATCCTTGAAATAAATTTTACTCTAATAATATGCTTCTAGATTCAGTTTGCTGACATTTGATTTAGGACATTGATATTTATATTCATAATTTTTTTTGTATTTGCTATATTTTTCAGATTGTGGACTCAGGATCATTTTAGCTTCATTAAATGAGAGGGGAAGGTTTTCTATGCTTTAGAATATGTAAATAGTACCAGAATCATCTGTCTCTCAAAGCTTTGATTGAATTTACCTGCAGGCTTATCTGGGTCCAGCTCTTATTTAGGTAAGAAGTCATATTTTCATTTTTTTGACCATTTTTTTTACCATATTGGTTCATTTTGATTTTTTTCTCTTCTTAAATACTTATATTTTTTTTTCCCTAGAAAATTGCCCAATTCAGAAAATCTACTAGTGGAGAGTCAATACTATTTTTCTAAAAAGAGGTTACCTCCTCTTTTTATTATTAATGTAGTACATTTGAATTTTCTCTTTTTAGACTTTTTTTTATTGATTTGATTTTGTAGAAATTTATCTATTTGATATCTTCCAGCTCTGGGATATATTTTTTCACTTCTGCTACTTTTCTGTTTTATCTATATTAAATTTCTTTATTCAGTTAATTTGAACACTTTATTATGGAAAATTTCAAACTGGCAGACAATTTGAAAGTGAAAATCCATATCCCACTGTCCAGATTCTATAATGAACATTTTGCTAATTGCTTTGTCACTATTTATCCATCTCTTCTTCTATCTATCCATCCATCTTATACTTTATGCATTTCAAAGTAAGTTGCAAACATTAATATATTTCACCCCTAAACACTCCAGCATTTATTCATTAATTAGAATTCAATATTTTTTTATGATTCTTTGTTTTCTATAACTTGTCTAACTCCTTTGGCCCAGCATTATTTATTTTCTCTTTTTAAACAATTGGCAATCCCATATATTTCCTTTTTTCTAATCTTCTATTTTTTTTTTATGTGAACCATTTTTAAAATCTTTATTGAATTTGTTACAGTATTGCTACTGTCCTATGTTTTGGGGGTTTTCTTTTTTGACCCCAAGGCACGTGAGGTCCTAGCTCCCCAACCAGGAATTGAACCCATACCCCTTGCATTGGAAGGCAAAGTCTTGACCACTGGACCAACAAGGGAGTCCCCCCCCCCCATATATTTTCTACCAACAGTAATAAAGAGAGCATAACTCAATAAAATGAGACTTTCTGCCAAGGTTTTTCTTTCCTCCACTTTTCTAGTTGCCATTATCTCTACCCATCAAACTATTACAATGAATTTTTTATTCCCCAGAACTGCAGATCAAGACCCAAAGGCTGAAGGGCTTAAAGCATTATATGTATCTTAAACCATAGTTTAGGGAAGAATTTATAATAATATAAGACTTTAGACACTAAGGAGGACTGAATCATGGGGTGCAGCACATTCTGGGGAAACATTTAGGACAGAAACAAAATTTCCTTTTCTTGAAGGGAAGATAAAGTAGACACCTTCTGGGTTCTGGCTGCTCAGCATGTGGTGAAGTCTCTATTTGAGTGTACAAGATCCTGCATCGAACTATGGAAGCTGAAGGGGGGCAGACATTCCTCTGTTCCCTTTCTGAAAGCTTGTGGGAAGTCATGTGACCCCAGTTCAGCCAAACAGGTACTCCTGCCCAAGAACCTGAGTCTAGAAGAGTTGACCCAGAGACGTAGCGAGGGACCAAGAAAGATTCCGGATTGCTTGAATATTTATCCCCAAGAGACTGAAGTAGATGTGACAGTTTCCGTCAATTTTCAAGTTTAAGTTTTCTGCCATCAGCGGAATTTGGACTAGATCTACAGTGACCTTTTTACATATCTAAATTGTGACTGTGAAATATTACCCACACACAAATAAGTGATGTTTAAAGGATGCTTTAATTATCATCTTATTTAATTAAAAAAAAAAGCCCTCTGAGTTAGGTATTACTGTCATTTCAAGCACCTGGATGAGAATCCCAGTCAGTGGGCAGCAGCTCTGGCACATGGACGTGGGCCACATGACTTCAAGGCCATGCCCCAGGTTTTTAACCAAGTATTCTTAATTGCCATTCATCTCTGAACACTTGTTTTGACTTCGCCTTTCAGTCCTCTGGAAGGGACTTTTTTCATTTCAAAAATTATCAGTTAATCTTTTGTTAAATTTTAGTTTTATTACATTGTGTTCAGAAAATTTAACTGAATAGTTTCTACTTTCGGGAATTTATTGTGGTTTACTTTAGGGCCTAATATTTGGTCAACCTTTGTATTTGTTCCATAGAAATTTGAAAATAATGTTATCAAATATAAATAGTCTTATTTGCCTGGCATAGAGGAGGAAGTAAAGGGGACAGTGCCCAGCCTTACTTAAAAATCTACCCTTATAATCAACAAGTCAGTCCGCTTCAGTGCCCACTTAGTGAAAGATCTTAAAATTAGCTTCTTTCAGTTAGGGTTTACTGAATCCCTTCCCCCATAAGGAGTTGCTCTGGGGAATCTCACCCAGGCGGCCTCTATTTCCCTGCTTGTCTCACACAGGGTTGGGGCCGTGAGTGAGACCAAGTCTCTTTAGCGCCAGCTGTGTACTGACTACTGCCCCAAGGCCAGAAGCGGTCAGGACCTCTGGAAGTTGAAGGGACCCATACACCCTAAGGGAAGAGTAGGATTTGAATGGGCAGAGATGGGCCAGCAGACCAGACTGAACAAATAGCCCAGGGAAGGCAAGGAGGTGAGGAATGTCTGAACATGTTTGGGGAATATCAGAAAGTCTGTTGCTCAGCCGTCAAGTTATGTCCGACTCTTTGCCACCCCATGGACTGCAACACGCCAGGCTCTCCTGTCCTTCACCATCTCCTGGAGTTTGTGCAAACTCACGTCCACGTCCATTGAGTCAGTGATGCCATTCAACCATCTCATCCTCTGTCGCCCCCTTCTCCTCTTGCCCTCAATCTTTCCCAGCATCAGGGTCTTTTCCAATGAGTCAGCTCTTTGCATCAGGTGGCCAAAGTATTAGAATATCAGCCTCAGCATCAGTCCTTCCAATGAATATTCAGGGTTAATTTCCTTTAGGATTGGCTGGTTGAATCTCCTTGCTGTCCAGTTCAGTTCAGTCACTCAGTGGTGTCCTACTCTTTGCGACCCCATGGACTGCAGCACACCAGGCCTCCCTGTCCATCACCAACTCCCGGGGTTTACCAAAACTCATGTCCATTGAGTCATGAGGCCATCCAACAATCTCATCCTATCATTCCCTTCTTCTCCCACCTTCAATCTTTCCCAGCATCAGGGTCTTTTCAAATGAGTCAGCTCTTCGCATCAGGTGGCCCAAGTATTGGAGTTTCAGCTTCAACATCAGTCCTTCCAATGAATACTCAGGACTGATTACCTTTAGGATGGACTGGTTGGATCTCCTTGCAGTCCAAGGGACACTCAAGAATTTTCTCCAACTGCACAAAGGCATCAATTCTTCGGCGCTCAGCTTTCTTTATAGTCCAACTCTCACATCCATATATGACTACTAGAAAAACCATAGCTTTGGCTACACGGACCTTTGTCAGTAAAATAATGTCTCTGCTTTTTAATATGCTGTCTAGGTTTGTCATAGCAACAGGAGCAAGCGTCTTTTAATTTCCTGGCTGCAGTCACCATCCGCAGGGACTTTGGAGCCCAAGAAAATAAAATAAAATCTGCCAGTATTTCCACTTTCCCCCCATCTATTTGCCATGAAGTAATAGGACCGGATGCCAAGATCTTAAGCTTTTTTAGTTTGAGTAACTCCCTGGCAGTCCAGTGGTTGGGAATCTGTGGTTTGGACCCTGCCGTGGGCGGGGTTTGATCCCTGGTCTGGGAACCAAGACTCTTAAGAATCCGCAAGCCACTCGGCGAGGACCCCCACCCCCCACCTCATAAGTCTAATTTGACTGGAACATGGGATGAAGTAGGAAGGGCATGTTGGGAAGGGCCCTGCTCCAACCCAGACCCACACCAGAGGGTGTGTGCTGCGGAGAGGACGAGACGTACATCGGAGCCCGGGGCCTTCGGGGTTTGTGGGGGTCAAGTCGCTCCAGGGAGAGCACCAAGCCCTGGTCACGCGGGTTCGTGACGCACAGCGAGCCCTGCGGTCCCCTTAGCGTATCGGTCTCTGAGCCTACCAAGAACCGTGTAGGAGGCGCGGGCTTCCGTCTGCACCCCCATTCGGGGTCCGGAGAGGGGCAGCTGGGGGCCAGTAGCCAGGGCTCCCGTCCGCACTTGGAGAGATCTGAGCGGCCCCAGGCGGGCAAAATTCTCCGGAGGCGCGTGCGGCGCCGGGGCGCGGTGCCTCCTCCAGGCAGTCGGCGGGATGGCCCCCGGCAACTCCTCCTGCAGCTGCTGCTGCCTTATAAGGCGGGGGCCGGGCGGCGCCGGGGGAGGGGCTGTAGCCGCCAGGCCTCCTCGCTCTGAACCGCGCTGGGCCGGGCCAGGAGGGAGCGCAGCGCAGGAGCGGAGCAGCGCGCCGAGCCTGCCATGGGCAAATCAGGTGAGCCCGCCGGGCCAGCAGGACCCGGGTGCGGGGATGGCTCGGGGCTCCGAGGTCCTCGCTGTCACTCTTCCCGAAGCTGGCTGGATCCCCAGGGGGAGGGGGTCGACCACCTCCGCCCGGGCGACGCGGCTCCGGCCGCTGTGGGACCGCAGGGTGCGGGATGGAGGGGCTCACGGAGCGGGCAGTTTCCGGGGCAGCCAGGAAGCCGAGGTGGCCGTCGGGCCACCGGGAGAAAGGGAGCGAAGGCGAGACCGAGGGAGGGTCTTCCCGTCTGCGAGCCAGAGATTGCGTCAGGGAGGGCTTCCAGGCGCTGATGGGATTAGCGCTGAGTCTGGCCAAGGCGTGGCTTTTGCTTTGTTTCAGGACAGGGTTAGAGTTGGAAAAAGCCACAGAACTGTGACAAGATCTCTTGATGCAAAGCAGCTTGCCCGACCAACCCTGCAAAAGACAGCTCTGAGCATCCTTTTCTTCTATCGTTGTGCTTTCTCCTCTAGGCACCCCACTCCCACCCCGTGCCAGATTCAGGCTACACAGGAGTACACACAAAGGCTTCCCCCTTCTCTGACCTGTCTGCTGCCCATCCTCACCACGGTGGCTGCCACGGTGAACTTTCTAAAACCCAGATCTCCTCTTGTTATTCCCGAACAACTCCCATCCCATAGTACACACTCTTCAGCTCCACTGTGGGGCTCTCAGAGAGCTGGCCATCACCCCTTTCTTGCCTCTGCACTCAGCTATGGCACTGGATCCTTCCCTCTCACTGACAGCCAGGACCCCTGTCTATCTTAGTATGGTTCGTGCCTCACAGGAGGCTTTTGAATGAACAGATTGTGAAGAGTTCAAAAGCCCCACTTCATGGACAGTTGAAGTTGTCAGCCTCAGGTGGTTTAAAGTTGGGTCTCTTCCTGAATCTGTCCTCAAGATCTGGACTTCTGAGGTACCAGTGTTGGAGGAGTGGCTTTCTCTGGCATTGGGCCTAGCCTGCCTTATCTGCAGCGGCAGGTCTGGCTTTCAGCCCTGGCTCTGCTAGTCACTTGCTGTGTGATCTTGAGCAAAGTCTTTTCCTTCTCTGTGCCTGTTTCCTCGTTTATACAAAGAAGATGGCCGGGATCATCCCCCGGGTCTTTTGCAGTCTGGAAAGGTGGCATAGTTATTATGCAGTTAAAGAACAGGCTAGTGGTGGGGTGGGGGAGAGCATGGCAGATGTGAGAGGGCCCTTTGAAATCCCTATTTGGGAAATTAGTCCCTTTCTTTACAGATTAAGAGGAAGTCCACAAATTATCTAAAGCTACATTCTAATCAGTTGTTCCTGGCTTCTCTCCTAAGAAACAGTTTTCCAGAACTGCTGGGTGCCCATTTTTCTCTGCTCATCCATCCCTCTCTCCCTCCCTCCATCTTTGCTTCCCTCCCTCGTTCTTCCCTTCCATCATCCGTCAGCTCTGTATCAACCTGTGGACCTAGTGCTACAGAGGGCATGGCCCCTGCCCTTAGGAGTGTCTGTGTGGTTTATAAAACGCATCAGAAAGCTGCTTGTGGGAGAGACTGGCACTACCTGGCTCTAGCAAGAGGTGGAGAGCAATCCAAGCCACAAGACAGGTGCAGGTGAAGAGCGGTGGGAGCTTGTAGTGGGCTGGGGGTGGNCTCTTTCCCAAGCATCCAGTGAAGGTTCTTGGAAGAGGTGGTCAGACTCTCGGAACTTTGGACTTTCTTTTGTGAGACCTGGGGGGCCATTGAAAGGCATTAATCTAAAAGCTTTGGGACCAGAATTGTTCCAGGGTGGAGGGTGGATCAGCCGGAGAGGGAGTAGAGGTAGGGGTCAGGGAGAAACTTTTGCAGTTACTCAAGCAAGAGATAACAGAAACATCTAAAGGACTGGAGAAGAAGCGGGGATGGACTTTCAAGATGGTAGCCTCAAGCAGACTTGGTGACTAACTTGTGAATAAGAAGGGGAGGTCAAGTGGTGTGAGTCTAGGTGCAGGAAGGTGATGACGCCTTCTAGGACTGGAGATGCAGAGTCTCCAGGATGGTGTCAGAAAGCACGTTAGAGCCGGTTCAGGCAGTTTCCGCCCCCTTCCCATGGTTAACCTCCACAGACCTGGGGACCTTCCAGAATACTGGCCCTTAGCCACATGCATTCTACTCATCTCCCCCAAAGACTCCGAGCCCCCTGGATAGTATCCAGCTCCCCTAAGGGTCCCCAAGAGAAAATTACTTTTCTGGGTTACACGGGCCCAAACTTGACGTTCCAGGCCACCGGCCTGGGACTGTCTGCCCAAAGGACAGGCAACATCACAGGCGTGCATCCACAGAGGGGGTCTCTGTGGTTCTGTAAAGACCTTCGTAAGGAGCTTGCGCCTTCTGGGCCTCAGTTTCCTCATCACTGCACAGGGGCCCATCTCTTTTTAATCTTTAACCTCACATATACAGCAGAGCTACTGGGGTAGTGGGCATTGCTGGAAAAGTGTCTCATAACCAACACAGCTTAAAGTCTGGAAGTCCAGTGTTCAGAGACTCCTAGGTCCAGCCCCTGGCCCACATCTTCCTGCTGGACTTCAGTTTGCAGCTGAGCAGAGAAAGGCAACAGCTTGGGGCTCAGTGGAAGCCTCTAATATGGTCCCTAACAATAGCGATTGCCAATCATTCAGCCCCTACTGTGTGCCAGGCTTGAAGCTGGGTGTTTCATATGTGTTACCAGTTTTTGTAACAGCCTGTGAGGCCCTTATTATCAGCTGAATCCCACACAGGGGCAGCCTAAGGCATGCCCTGGGACATCCTTGTCATTCTTGCTTGGGGTCTGGAAGAAGTATGTAAGGTGGAAAGTGTGTGAGATACAGGGCAAGGGAGGGACATTCTTGGGTCTGACTCCAGTGTGGACTCACTGTGTGACCTCGGGCACGTCACATGTCCTCCCAAAGACCAAAGTTTCCTTGTCTATAATGAGAAGCACCATGTCCTCAGTGCTGCTATGAGAGTCTCATTCATCTGTTCTTGTGCTCACTTTTTCACTCAGTAAGTACATGAGCTCAGAGGTACTGAAAAAGGTCATCAAAGACCAAGTTAAATACCAGCAGCTCTGCTCCCAGTAAAATCAGGGAGGGGAGTTCCCCCCAAAGCGAGGCTAATGGGTCTCTGCCCCACGGTAATGACAATACTTATAGGTGACATTTAGTTGAATTATAGTTTGTTCACTTTGTTCCAGATCTGATCTAAAGCATTTACAAAGATTTAATTCTCACAACAACCCTATGAGGTAGATACTGTTATCCCCATGTTGTGTATGGAAGAAATGAGGCACAGAGTGATTTAGCAACTTTACCAAGATCACACAGCTAATAAAAGGCAGAGCTGGGATTTGCCTCTTGAATTTCCTGGAACCCAAGCTGAAAACGCTACCCATCTGGAACTCATTCTTTTTACTTTTTTAATCAAGTTTTTATTCTTTCCTTCCTGATAAACTAGCAAAACCAGCTTTGCCCCAAAGGTTTTCTAGCCTCTTGCCAGGGGACAGAAGGGGCCTGTTCATAATTCCTGCTCTGGCCCTGCAGGTCCTGGGCCGGGAGAGGGCTGAGAAATGAGTCAGCTGGGCTCTGGGAGGCCACAAGGGGACGAATGCTGAGGGAGGGGTCCGTTCCAGCCAGCAGCTGTGAGGGAGGAGGGGCACGGACCTCCTCCGAGTCTTTATCCCACTGTTAGGAGCTCTGCCCTATGACCTCTGAGAGCCCCTAGTCCAGCCCCACCCAAGACGCCTCTGTCTTCCGCCTAGCCCTGGCCTGCCCCCGCCCCTTGGCCGCGGGAGCCACTCTCAGGCAGCCCCTTCCAGCCGCTCTGACCTTAAGCCCCAGGTGTGCACCCTGGAGCCCGTGGCTTTCCTCTGGGCCGACTCGGGCAGGTCTGTCTACAAAGGGCTACAAAGCACAGAGCAGGCACTTGAGAAATCTTAGTTCTTTTCTTCTCTCTTCCTTCTTCCTCCTCTTTCCCTTCAAAGATTTGAAGGCAGCTGTCAACCTCACTGGGCCTGATCCTCCTCCTAGGTCTGCTGGCGCCCTTTTCTCAGTGATTTCCTCTGTCTGGTGACCCTTGAAGTGGGCTGGGGTCCAGGGCAGGGTTCCCCTCCTTGGGGGCCTACCCCTAGACCATCTGTGGGAACGTGGACAGAGATTATCTTCTTGAGCCTGTTTCCCCATCCAAAAAATGGGTACAGTGGTGAAAGCTCCCGCAAAGGTGGTGAAAAGTAAATCAGATGATACACAGGCCTGGCACCCAGAAATGGTTGGCCGCCAAGCAGAAGGAAGGCCCTCCCTCATTCCAGGCTGGTCCCCTGAGGCTGCATGGCCTCTCTGAGCCTCCGTCTGCCAGCCTGTGTGCAGTCACGTCTGACTCTGTGTGACCCCATGGGCTGTAGCCTGCCAGGCTCCTCTGTCCGTGGGATTCTCCAGGCAGGAATACTGGGGTGGGTTGCCATGCCCTCCTCCAGGGGATCTTCCCAACCCAGGGATCGAACCTCCCCCGCCTGATGCAGGCATGGGTGGGTTTTCTGTGACGCCTCTTTTTCTTCTGTTTATCTGTCCTCAGGCCTTTCTACTGAAGTGGGTATGTCTCTTGCTGGGTGTGGTCCCTGGGAGGTCTCTTGCCTCCCCGGGGCTGGGTTCTGCTCAGAGGAGCCGTTTGGGCTGGGACTGGCTGCTGGGGTGGGCGGGAACCCCTGCATCAGCCAGGGGTGTGGTTATGGGGCCCCCAGGCTTTCCAGTCAGTGACAGGCAGAGAGGGCGACCCTGCTGACTCCTTCCTAGAAACCCTGGTGCTGAAACTTTCACTTTTTGTTTCAGTACTTCCCACATTCTGGGAACGCAGTGACCTAGTTTTCAGCAGCCTTTTATGTCCCTTCTCTGGGTTGGGAAGATTCCCTGGAGAAGGAAATGGCAACCCACTCCAGTACTCTTGCCTGGAAAATCCCATGGACAGAGGGGCCTGGTAGGCTACGGTCCATGGGGTCACAAAGAGTCAGACACGACTGAGAGACTTCGCTTTCACTGCCAAGGAGACTTCAGGGCCTGAGCAGTCCAGAGTCCATTGTATCACAGGGCTATCTTTAAACTGGCTTTGCCTTAGTGACCCACCCATTCCCCATAACACCACCTCTTTCTCACAGCACCACGTATGCCAGACCCCTTCTGCCCTGGCCCTTTCTGCGCCTTTGCCCCCTCATCACCTCCTCCAGGGGGCCTTCCCTGATACATCCGTGGTCACCATTGCCCACGCCACTCAGACCCATGCGTCTTTCGTGGTGTCCCGCCGGGGCCTGCCTGGTACATAGGAGCTGGAAGGGACATTAGGGTGGGCCTAGCCAGGCCTGTCACTCAGATAGAGACCCTCTACCACTTTGTGGGTACCCACACTCGCCCGTGCATGCACACACACACTGAACTCCTGGAAGCCTGGGGTCAGTCGGTCATCTTGCCTCCTCTCACCCTCACCCTCAGGATTGGAAGGGACTTAAAAGTCATCTGACTGGGCCTCCATTGCCTGCATTCCTCTGAGAGGCATCACCTGCTTGCATGCCCCCAGTGCTGGAGAGCTCACGGCCATGTGAGGTAGCACTTTCAGTCTTCAGAAAGCTTTGGTGGAGATGGAGATCTTTCTCAGGCTGAGCTGAAATCCGTCACCCCGCCTTTCCACCCACTGTTCCCAGCTTTGCCCTGTGGGGCCCCAGAGTTCAGCAGGGCCCTGCGCCGCATCTTCCAAAGTCTGATCTTCTGCAGTTCTTGCTACCATCCCTTATGAGACCACATACCCAGCCCCTTCTTCACCTCATCACCTCCTCTGTACACACTTCAGAGTGTCCCTGCCTCTAATGCAAGCTGGGGGCCGGGCTGGGTGAAGAGTGGCAGCTGGACACGGCTTGTGTAGGGCAAGCAGCACATCGCCCAGGAGCCATGGGTTTCTGGCCACCACGCCTCCCTCCTGATTCCTTAGTGTCCCGTTAGTGAGGCTCCAGTGTGGGTCCCATGAGTTGCTGTGATCCTGCCACTTCCACCTGAGATACTCTTTAAAAGCCTCTGTGACTCCATTATCCACAGTAACATGTGAAACCCCAATTTTTTCTCTAATATTTACTATTTGACTGTGCTGGGTCTTAGTCGTGACACGTGAGATCTTTAGCTGTGGCGTGTGGGTTCTAGTTCCCTGACCTGCACATTGGGAGTGCCAGGTCTTAGCCACTGGGGCCCTAGGGAAGTCCCCCAAAATCTTTTTTTTTTAAATTCTGGTAAAAATCGCATGACATAGAATTCACCATCTTAACCACTTTTTAGTAAAGTGAGTTCACAGTGTTGTAAAGCAGATCTCCAGGACTGTTTCATCTTGCAGATCTGAAACTCTGTACTCATTCAACAGCACCTTCGCTCTCCGCAGGCCTGAGGACTGATAGCTCCGCCCTCTGCCTTATGACCTGTTACCATGGCCACAGTTTTCACCTCCATGCCTTTGTCATAGCGTCTCCCCATCTTTGCCTGTCAATCCAGACCTCCCACATCCTGGCATTTGGCACCCCTTTCCCATCCCTGTCGCACTTCCCATCACTATGACTGGACCCCACCAGACTGCCCCGCCAGTCCCCAGAGTGTTGGAGGTTATGACCACTGCCCACCACTGGCATGGCCTGCAGTTTCCTTCCCTCTCCTGGTCACTGTCTAGCCCAAAGCTCCAGAGGGCAAGCCCTGGGTCTTCTTCCCTCAAGGCCCCTAGCAACCCAAGGGGATTCAATCTGAAGGCCCAGGAGACCTGAGGGATCTGGCTGAGGGAGGGGAAGAGGACCCCTGCTGGTTCATCTCCATGGCCTCTGGGGGAAAAGACCGCAGAGGAGGAGAAAGGTGGCTGGTGACAGTGACTCGGGCCAGTGGATGGAGGGCTGCTTCTCTCATCCTCTGGTTTATACCCTCTGCCCACAGCAGGCTTCAGAGACAGGCTCGTGCCAGAGGGGACTAGCTCAGTTCTGTGGACCCCCTGTGGCCCTCACACGTAACTCAGCCATTTCCATGGTGATGGCAAGGGGTCCTCCCATCCTCCCAGATTCCTAAGGCTGAGGTCAGCACCTTCAGAGTCTCAGCCTGGCCAGCTCCTGTTCAGACATCTGTGGGGCCTCAAATCAGGGTCACCTTCCTGATCCCCCAGACCATGGTAGGCTGCTTTTCTCCAAGTTCCTCTTGAGCTATGCTCACCTGCGCCTTGAGCCTGCCACACTGCTGGCTGCTGTTCTCAAGACTCTCTCCTTTCTGGGTGGGAGCTCTTTGAGGGAAGGACATAGGTAACTTGTCCGAACCCCTGGCATATGGTATGGGACTTGGCACAGAGGACACACTCGGAGAGCAGATAGATGAGTTGGGGTTGAATGGATGATAGATGGGTGGTTGGATCCTGCTGCTTACATCATGAGTCAGTAGGTGGGTGGATGAGTGATGGAGAGATGGAGGGATAGATGAAGTTCCATTTCAGATCTGAATTGATATGACCTCTGTCCCCTGCTGACCTGGCCTACCTTTGACTTCACCACTTCTCCTCTCCCAACTCCAGCCCCCTTGGCCTTGCCCCTTCCGAGGTTGGGACCCAGTTGGGCATACCTTCCTTCACCTGCTGGGGCCAGCTGATCACACCCCCCCACCACAGCATTCTTTCCCACACTCTCCCTCTCTCTCCACTTCCTGATGCTGTCCTGCCCTGGTCGGTCCTCCTGTCTCCATCTGCCCCTCTGTCTTGGGGCAGTGTGGGTACCCCTGCACCCTGGCCAGGCCTGTTCTCTCTGAGCTCTCATCTGCAGCCCTTCCCAGTCCTCCCATAGCATGTACCATAGGTCCCATCTGAGATATCCAGTCTCCACACATTTTCTTTCGGATGTCCTGCTCTTCCCTGTCCAGCACCCGCACCCCCCATCTGCTCTGCCCATCCTCCACTCAGCAGCCAGCAGGGTCTTCTAGAAACAGAGATCTCCTTAGCTCACCCCCCTTCCCCCAGTCAGTCACTTCCCATCGCCATGAATAAAGACCCAGACTTCTTACATGCTCCATGAGGCCCTACATCGTCCCGGGGGTGTTGGTGTGCAGAGATTGGGGCAGCAAGCCTGGCTGTGTGACTTCAGGTTTGAGTTGGGCCGTGCTCTGAAGCCCGCAGGGTACTTTCCTTCTTCCCATGGCTCTTTTCTCCTCACTGAGATGGTCTCCATCTTGAACTCATTGCAGCCTCCAAGCAGTTTAACGACGAGGTCCTGAAGGCCCACAATGAGTACCGGAGGCAGCATGGTGTCCCCCCACTGAAGCTCTGCAAGAAGCTCAACCGGGAAGCTCAGCAGTGAGTGCCCCCCAGCGCCCCCGGCCCTTCACGGCGCTGCCGCCGCGGCAGTCACAGGCAGGCTCTAGGATGCAGGAGAGGTGTGGGCTTGCGGGGCAAACATGGCCATGCTTGAATAGCCCCTCTGCCACTTACCCGGGCAGGTCCCATTGTTCCTCTGAGCCCGAGTTTGCTCCTCGGTAAAGTGGAACTGGAGCAGGGCCTTAGGAGTGATGCAGGTGTGATGCTCCTGACTGCCTGCCCGAGCCCAGGGCAGGGACGGAAGCTCAGCCATACTAGGTTAGGGCTCCTGCTTTGGAGGCTTCCCCAGGCTGTACACACTCTAAGGGAGCACCGTGGACTCCTGCAGGTATTCAGAGGCCCTGGCCAGCACGAGGATCCTCAAGCACAGCCCAGAGTCCAGTCGTGGCCAGTGTGGAGAGAACCTGGCATGGGCATCCTACGATCAGACAGGTGGGTCCTTTCTCAGCTTCCCACCCACTGCCTGAGCCGGGCCTGGGACATCCAGTATTCAGGCTCCTCCTGAAGTCCTCCTCAGGGTCCTCGTAGTGTCTGCATGATGCGCTACCTGCCCGAAAGGGAACAGAAGCCCAGAGCTCTCTGTCTGCCCCCAGGGGCTGACTGCAGTTCACCATAAGGGCTCCAGTGGCCAGCTCAGGGCCAGGCCTGTGCCGGGTGCCAGGGACACAGAGATGAGTCAGACTTCCCGCCCCCGCACCCCCTGCAGAAGAACTCCCAGCTGAGAGTGGGGGCGGGGGAGAGACCGTTTCTGTGCCGAGTCTCAGCCTGACCCTGTGGGCGCTGCAGCATCCCCAGTTACAGAAGAATTTTACTTTCCTCACGTTCTTCCAAAAGTCTTTTCAGTGCTTGTGTCTTAACTGTTTTCATGAGAGAAGTGCAATAGAGCTTTTTTCCATGTTGGACAAAGTAATAATAATGGGAAAGGCAATTCCTCACCCAAGGTCACACCCTGGATGGTGATCCCACCACACTGACCAAACATTGTGGACTTCCTGGCTCTGGCAGTGCTGGCGTGGCTTTTTAGGAAAAATGCTGGAGAGAGCCACCTCGCAATCTGACCACCTCCCTCCCCTGCAGGAGAATGACTGTTCCCTCCCTGGCCTCACATTCCTGGGGGTTCCCCAGGGAGGCCCTGGAGTCCTCTATGTTTCCAGGCAGAGCTCCACGAGAAGCATGGGCCTGCCCCTGAGGAAGGTAGAGCCCGAGGCCCGCAGCCCCTCCCCAGGCTCAGGCTGTGGGCCTCGATGGGGAGAAGGGAGCGGGGCGAGAAAGAGCCAGCAGGAGATGAGGCTCCCTCCCAGCCTCTCGCTGGCTCCCCGTGGAGCCTTGAGCAAGTCTGCTACCCTCCATGGCCCCAGTGTCCCCATCCCTACTAAGAGGGGTTGGGTGGGTGGCCTCTAGGGCAGCAGTTCCCCACCCTCGCTGCACCCTGGGATCTTCCGTGGTGCTTTTAGAAAGTATAGTGCCTGATCTCTCCTCCAGAGACAGTGATAAGTATCAGACATCAATAATTTTGAAAAGCTTCCCACTGCTCTCAGAGGCCCTGCCACTCCAGGTGTGGTCCATGGATCAGCCACAGCACCTGGAAGTGTGTTAGCAATGCAGACTCAAGGCTCCACCTAGATCTGCCGGAGTCAGAAGCTGCATTTTAACAAGAGCCCCAGGTGATTCGTGCACTTGTTAAAGTTCAAGACTTACTGCCCTGAGGCCCAAGGCTCCTAGCCCTCTGGCCCTGAGCTCCACTGCTCCCAGCGGAATGCTGTGACAGTGGATGCTCCAGGAGAGGGCCCTGCTGCCTGCAGCAGAGACCCTGACCCACCAGCCCAACTACACTTCCTCCTGTGGATGTTTCAGGAGCAAGCATTGCGGTGGGATGAAGGCAGAGTCTCCGGAAAGCTCACAGCATTGTTAGAAGCCCTTGGAGTATGTTGCATTCAGTCCTGTTGTAGAGAGGCCCAGAACTGGGCAGGCCTTGCCCAGGATTGCACAGCCAGTTAGTGGCAGGGCAAGGACACAGACACAGGCCCCCCGACCTCAGGTCAGGGCTCTTCCCAACCCCCAAGAAGGCCCTCCCTTCAGCCTGGATGTGCTCCAGGGCAAGAATCCCCATGTGTCAGCCCGTCAGTGCTTCATGAAATGTCTCACTTGAGGGGTGGGTGCTTTGGGGCTAATGGGAGATGGAAGGAATAGGGAGTCGGTTCATTTTGCTGCTGAGTTGTCTGCAGTGTCTTTGCCTTACAGGAAAGGAGGTGGCTGATAGATGGTACAGTGAGATCAAGAACTACAACTTTCAGCAGCCTGGCTTCACCTCTGGGACCGGTGAGTGATGTGGACGCAGCAGTGACCTGGCCCGGGGCGGGGCTGCAGTCTGGGTCTGACTTCAGAGGAACTAACCCCCTGAAAATCAATCACTTTCCTTCTGTTTTACTTCTTCCATATTTCTCTGGTTTGACTTTGCCCAGAGGGCAAAAGCATCCCCACCTCTTCACACACACACACACACACACACACACACACACACCCCTCCATCCAAGAGTACCCAAGCTGCCGGCTCCTGCTGCAGATGCCTGGAGTGTGGCGTGAAGAGGCTGTGGACTGTAAAGCTGCTGACTGTGTCCTTTCAGGAGTGGTGCCTCAGCACGTGGCATCCGTCATCCTACTCCTGGGCCTGCTCTCCAGGAGCCAGAGTATTCTGAGACCTTCCCTGTCCATGCTGCTCTTCTGATTAAACTGCCAGTGGCTTCCTGGGGCCATCAGGAAAGCTGCGGAGCCACTGACTCTTCCCCTGGTCTTCACACCTTCCTCCCTCCTGCCCCCACATCCCCCCCACACCCCCTCCTCCCAACCTCCCAAGTAGTCTCCCTGCTGCTTTGCACACCAGTGTGTGGTTCAGGTGAGCTTGGAATGCAGAGACTTTCGGATCCAGTCTCAGCTCTGGCACTATGAGCTCCGTGAACCTGGGTCGGCGCCCTGTCCTTCCCTGTCCCCAAGGGAGAGGCACAGGGCGGTGGCCTCCATGGGACATTCTGAGAGCCGGGATTTAGATGCAGGGAGCCGGCCATGGGACCATCCAGACTTTCCCATGGACTGCCCATGTGAGCAGTGAATGGTTAGCCTACCAAAGCCCTAGGCAGCTGCTCCGGGTCCCCTCTGCCCCTTACAGGCCTCACCAGGCTCGTTTTTCCTCAGAACTGACTCACGTCCACCCGGGGCCCAGGATGGTTTCAAAGCAGCTGGGAGTTCCTCTTACCAGAAGGCACCAGAGGAACTGAACAGAGGATTCTCTATCCATCTGCTATTCCTCTTCCCCACCCTTGGGTGGGGACACTGACAGCCTCCCACCCTCTGGAGGACTCTTCAGAAGCAGGAAGTGACATGTTCTCAGAGCCAGTCACTGTTTCCTGTGGTTTGTGCTCACCCTTTGGGGCAGGGGTTCTTGCAATCGTGTGGGCAGAGGTAGTAGCGTCTGAACAGAGGCGTTTCCTCTCAGTCCTGTGGGGCAGGACCAGGAGGCTGCAGCCAGGCCCTGGGAGAGAACTGCTGGTTCTGCGGTAATTAGATTTGAGAGGTGAAACAGCAACAGTGACAGCCTCCTACCAGTGATCAACGATGTGTAGGCAGAACTTGGTCTTCTTTTCATAAAGGTCACTGTCCAGAAGATGTTTTATTTCATCCTGTGAGCAAGATTCACGAGCAATCACACATGTGTCAGAGCAAGTTATTGGTGTTGCTCGTGTGTACACGCCACTTGATAGTAAAAAGCGTCTCCACCTCCACAACCTGCAATACCTTTTGAAGGTGGGGCTTTATTCCACCCATTTTGCAGAGGAGGAAACTGAGGCCCAGAAAGGGGAAAAGACTTCTCTTTACCTTCTATCTTCAATCTGATGCTTCTTCCATGGTCCCTGCTCCAAGGCAGGAATCTCTCAAGTGTCAGAGCTGGGGATTGGTCTCAACTTCCCGTGATCCCTGACCCTCTGTCTTGTCTGTTATCCTACATCTCCCACCCCTCAAGAGGAAAAGCCTAGAGCCAACAGCCCCTACTCCATCCCAGGCACCAGTGGGCAATGGCTGAGGTCACACAGAGCCTGACCCTTGGACAGGAGCACAGCTTTGGGTGGTGGTAGAAGCAGGGGTTTTGCAAGACTCTTAAAGATGCTCAGGCCTGTCCCCGCTGCATCAGCCACCCCTAGAGCTGCTTCTCACTGCACCATGGTTCAGGGCGTCCCTGACCCGGGCCCATGCTGTAGGTGAAAGAGCCTTCAAAATACCCCGGACCCCACCCCACCCCTACCCAGGTTAGAGTCTTGTGAGGAAGGACACAATTCTGTTTGTGCTGAGAGAAATAGCTTCTTTTTTTTTGAGAAATAGCTTCTTGCAGGTCCTTTATTTTGGGTTTTGGTTTTTTTTTTTTTTAATGCATAGGCTTGTTGACTTATTCTGAATAAGTATTACGCTTATATGACATGAGATTTGCAAGCTGTATAAGGTGGACAGTCTTCCTTCCATCCCTGACTTTCAACGCTTTGCCTCCCAACCAGTAATACCAGTTTCTGTGTATCCTTTAGAGTCATTCGAACCAAAAGTTGTGGTTTTTCCTTTTTTTAATACTCTGGTGTCAGGTAGGTGATCTGTTTTACACTTGCTTTCTTCACAGGGCAGGTTAGCAGAGATTGTATCATATCAATAGGGAAAGAGCTTTCTCTTTTATTCTCTTGCAAGGATATATTGTAACTTATTTAATGTGTTTTTCAGATGTATATTCTGGAAAGTTTGGGTCCATAGCAGGAAAGAGGATGTGATCCTTTTGGGAAAAAAAAGAAAAAGAAGGAAGCTCTCAGTAGTTTAGAATTAGAAACCAGTGTGTATCTGATGGTTGCTAAGGAAGTTGTGTCCTGTAATTCATCTCTAAATACCCAGACTTAATTATCTGTGTGCAGACAGAAACCTCTCCAGTCAGAGGAAAGATGACTTAGTTTTATCTGTTTGGAAAAGGCTTCCACAGACATTCATTCTGTTGGTGTGCATGTGGCGTCTGTAATCATTTTCTTGGCAACCAGTGGATAAACGGCAGCTCTTCCTTCTACGGGTGATGGAGACAGTGGGTAGGTCAGCGGCCAAAGCATGTGGTCTCTTGGAGAAAAGGCTTGTGGGCAAAAGGGTGTGAGCCTTCATGAAAAGACAGTCCATAGAAGCAGTGACACCTGGCAAAGCTGCTGAAGAGCTGGAGATGAAAGAAATGTGATTAAAAGTTTAAGGACCAAGGATGAATTGGAAAATAGTGCTTCCTCTTTTCTGAGGTGAGACTCAGGGTGTACTGAGCAATAGTTAACCTGAGCTTAAGGGTAAATGGTCAGGATGCATAACCGTAGTTAACGTTTGTTTGCTTTTAATTCTTGCTTTGATTATATCACACCAGTCCTGCAGGTCAGTGTTTATGTTTGGTTGTTTTCATAAAGACTTTAGTAATCACAGATCTTTTAGAGATGTAGACAAAGAAATAATGCCTACATTTAAAAATTAGAAAAATGAGGACTTCCCTGCTGGTCCAGTGGCTAAGATTCTGAGCTCCCAGTGCAAAGGGCCCAGGTTCCCTGTTCAGAGAACTCCATCCCACATGTTCTGACTCAGACCCAGTGCAGCCAAATAGAAATAATAAATACATTTTTTTAAATTATAAAAATAGAGTTCATCTATAGGAGAAAAACAGTTTAATCAATGAATGATTATTTAATCCTTACCAAATACGAGACACAGTGGGAAACTCTGTCTCTTCCCTGACTGGAAGAGTGGATACCAGCCCTGTCTCCTTCCTTCTTCTGTTTGTTTCATTTTGTGGTGAAATACACTTAACGTAAATTTACCATTTTAACCATTGTTTGTAATTTTTTAAATGTTATGTGCTTTGTTTTGGGCTGTGCTGGGTCTTCCTTGCTGCCTGGGCTCTTCGCGAGTTGCCGAGCGCGGGGCTGCTCTCCACCGGTGATTCGCAGGCTTCTCATTGCAGTGGCTTCTCCTGTTGCGGAGCGCAGGCTCAACAGCTGTGATACACAGGCTTGGTTGCTCCAAGGCACGTGGGATCTTTCCTGACCAGGGATCAAACCCACGTCTCCTGCATTGGCAGGCGGATTCTTTACCACCGAGCCGCCAGGGAAGCCCCATGTTAGGCATCGTTAAGCATACAGCTCACTGGGGTTAAGTCACGCACATTGCTATGCAGCCGTCACCACCATCCATCTCCTGAACGCTGGCATCGTTCCAAACTGAAACTCTGAACCCAGTAAACAATAACACCAGTCCCTTCCCGCCAGCCCCTGTCCAAGCCTTAGTAACTACTATTCTACTTTTCTCCATGAATTTGACTATTCTACTTACACAACAACATTTTGTTTATCCATGGGCAGTTGTTTTCTTTCCCCCTTTTAGCTATTGTGAATAATATGTACATTGGTGTGCAAATATTTGAGTCCCTGCTTTTTCTTCTTTTGGGTGTATGCCTAGAAGTGGAATTACCGGATCATATGGTAATTCTATATTTAATTATTTTAGGAACTGCCATACTGTCTCCCACAGTGGCTGCACCATTTTACATTCTCATCAGCAAAGCAAAAGGGTTCCAATTTCTCCCCATCATCCCCATCAACAAATAACATTTGTTATTTTTTTTAAAAAAATAATATCCATCTTAATGAATATAAAGTGGTTACCCTCTTTCTTAACCATCCAGTGGGAAGCTTAGCTACTCTGATCACAATTTTCCTCCTTCCTCCTTCCCTCTGTCTCTTCCTTTCTTCATCAGATATTAATTAAGCATCTACTGTGTACCAAGAACACACATATGGTGCCTGCTCTCAAAGAGGAAACATAATCTCTTCAGGGTTGTTTTTAGAAAATGAATGCCATTCTGTGACATGGAAGTAAATATCCCACTGACCTGTCAAAGGATCTCTCTGAATCTTCAGTGGTAAAGGTGGAAAGGATGAACTCCTGATCTCTGCTCCCAGGAGACGAGAATTTATGGTCATTGAGCAAAGAGTACGTTACAGCATCAGTTCTTTGACCCCAAACAAGAGCAGAGTTAGAAGCTAAGCTGTGTTAGCAGCTGGAAAAGACCAGTGAGTGCTGGGCAGGCAGCCTGAGCAGTGGGAGAATGATACTGGGAAGCTTCAGCCGCCACAGAAGCGTCGGGAGGGGCCAGCAATATCTTAAGAAGGAACTTAGCTATGTGGCTCAGAGCAGAGGGAACTGAAGGAGGCTCTAACTTGTCTGGGTCTCAAAGAGCTCAAAACGTACAAGGCCTGCACTTCCAGTGACGGCAGAACTTAGTCCAGGTTGGTTCTTCCATATGCCTTTCATTCATTCACTCATTCATTCCATTTATTCATTCCACAAAGTTTTATTTCACATTCCATGTGTCAGGCTGTGCCAGGTACTGCACATACTTTGATAAATAAATCAGTTTGGTTCCTGCCCATATGGGGCTCATAGCCTAGTGAAGGGGCCAAGTGCTTAGCAAGTAAACAAGTATATCACTGCAAATGGTAAGAATGCTGTGAGGGTGGGAAACGGTACAGCAAGGCCATCTTGAGAGGGAGGTGTTCAGGAAATAAGAGTGATTGCAAAAGGCCTCTCTAAACAAGTGACATCCGGGCCAAGACCTAAGGGACAAGAAAACACTGGTCATCAGATTAGCATTGCATACAGTGGCCAGTGCGTGCAGGGGGTCCATAGTAAGAAATAACAGGATGTGTTCAAGGGATGGAAAGGAGGCCACTGGACCAAAGCATTCACTTTCATTTTAGGTGCAGCTAGACGCAATGGAGGGATTTTTAAGTAGAGAAGTAAACAGATATGATCTATGTCTCAAAATGATCACTCTGGCTACATCAATGGAACGTAAATTGAGGAATCAAGGGTGGATGCTGGAGAGTCAGGCGAAGGCTATTGCAGTGATCCAAGTGCGAAAAGTTCATGCTTGAGACCATGGTTTTGGGAATGAAAGGACTAGAGATGTATTTTGAAGTTAGACTTTTCAGGATTGAATGAGGGTTTGTGGGGAAATGAAGGTGAAGGAGGAATGCAGAGCAACTCTGAGGATTGTGTGCACAGAGGTACTGGTCATGGAAACGGGAGAGACCAAAATCAAGAGTGAGGTTTGGGTAGGTTACATGTGAGATGCCTGTGAGTCATCCCAGTGGAAATGTCAAGTAAGTAGTTGTGTTTGGAACACAGAGGAGAGATTTGGGCTGGAGAAAGATATTTGGGAGCCAAGGAAAGATGAAATTGTCTGAAGAGGGCAACAGGAAGAAAAAAAAAAAGCCCAGGATTGAACCTTGGGAAATTCAGGTCCTCCAGTATTCACAAGTGAGACGGAAGAGGAGGAGGAAGAGAGAGTGATGCGGGGTGAATGCCGAGAGGAAACCAAAAGAGGGGAGTCCTTTGAAAGGGACAGGAATCTATTCTATTAATGTTCCTGAGATGTCAAGTAAGATGAGGACAATAGTGATCATTGGGAAGGAGCACAGATCATTGGTGACCTTGAAAGTGTGGGTTGGGGCAAGGGGTGGAAGTAGGTGCAAGGTAGGGTGACCTCATTATTGGGGTCACTGGGCTTTGCCATAATCTCTAGGAGACCATGAAACTTTTGAGCATTGGATAGTGAGATGTGTAGGGTCTATATGGCTAGTTGAGAGGACCCAATGTGTTAGAAAATTAGTGTCTTGTGTCTCCTTCTTCTGACTGGCAATTGAAGATCAAGCTTCCCCCAACATGGCAGGATGGTGCAGGAGTTCCAGAGTCCCTTGAAACACCATTCTCCAGGCTTTGCTAACTAGCCCGTTTCCCTCTCCCCATGCCTGTTCCTACAGGACACTTCACAGCCATGGTATGGAAGAATACAAAGAAGATGGGAGTGGGGAAGGCGTCTGCAAGTGACGGGTCCTCTTTTGTCGTGGCCAGATACTTCCCAGCAGGGAATGTCGTCAACCAGGGCTTCTTTGAGGAAAATGTCCTCCCTCCAAAGAAGTAATATTTGTCCAGTGGAATGGGAAGGTGGCAGACTTAAGAACTTGGATATGAAGTGCCTAGAACAACAAAATTCAGCTGTGTGTCTGTTCCTGTGGGTGTGTGTGCTTGTGAGTGTGATGCTGAGTCTCTTGCACACACACTCGGTTAGACAGCTGTGCGTGAAATCATTCTCATCAAGGAAATGAGCATACAAACCCTCTATCTCAATGATTCCCTAGGCTACAGTTATTTGGACTTTGACAGGAAAAATTCAATTTTTGAAGTTTTTAAAAATTTTTTAAAGCAAACTTTTTTTGTACCTTCTTACTTATATCCACCCCCGATCCCTGGACTTTCTGTATTCCAACTGTTTGTGATGCTGAGAAAGTGAAGTTCATCTTATGGGACCTTCATGCATTGTAATCTACTTTGGGTAGATATTTAAGAATATTAAACCCTCATTTAAATGTGACAAAAATACAGCTTTAAACGTGTAAATACAAAGCAGTTTCCATAAGAAATACAGGGTAGGCAGAGACTCCATTTCACGGAATTACTGAGATTTCTCAGTTGTAAGACATGATGTCATCTGCACACCTCCTGGAATTCTCTAGTGGGATTGCCAAAAAACAAATGGAGAAAAAAGCTTGACTTCCTTGCATTTTTCTATCTTCCACCACCCTCGGCCCACCCTCTTTTTCTAAAGATCCTCTGGCATTTCAGAGCTCATGATGCCGCCCCTCCACCAGCACCTCAGTTTCCAGGGAGCAGGGCCAGGCCTGCGACTCACCCATCCCCCACTCTGCCTGGGGCCCCCGAGGCCTGTTCTGGGAGAAAGCCCCTCCGCCTGGGCTGTTGGCCAAGCAGCCTTGGATGATGAAGTCAGTGAGCGCGGGGGTGAGGGTGAGCTCACTCAGAGTCCCCAGAGGAAGCCCTCCAGCCTGTGCCGTCCCACCCACGCAGGGGGGGAGCCCCAGCCTGCTCCTGGCAGCTGTGACGGCAGCTGTGAGGCCGCTCCCTCCAGGAATGTGTCACAGGCCCGAGTGTTCCAAAGAGACATCCCATGTGGGGGCTTAGAGGCGCTGACTTAGTCCTGCGTTTTGCCTCAGACTATACAAAGTCCTCTTAAATCAGGACTCCATGTGGTCCAGGTGGGAGGGGCCAAGCTGTGTGTCCCTGAAACCATGGCATCTCCAGGTAGTGAGACAGCAGGGCCGGGAGTCTGTGCGGGCCGGTTTTTGAGACGTGCTTCCTGTTGTGAACACAGGCTTCTGCTGTGCCCGTCATCTCACCAGGGACAGCAATAAAGTCTTTAGTGTAGTATCTTACTCCCATGTGATTCATGCCTGATTCTTAAGGTTTTCTTTGGTATGAACCATTTACAAAATCTTTTTATCAAGTTTGTTACAATATTGCTTCTGTGTTTTTTTGTTTTGTTTTATGTTTTTGGCCCCAAGGCATATGGGATGTTAGTTTCCTGCCCAGGGATCAAACCCACATCCCCTGCATTGGAAGGTGAAGTCTTAACCTCTGCACCACCAGGGAAGTCGCTTGTGCCTGATTCTTAACCAGTAACTAAGGCAATCAATAACTCTGAGTTCCCATCTTAGGTAACTCAAGATGGGATACCTCTTGATGGGAGAATCCCTTGAGATGGGATTCTGAATACCTCCAACCCCTCTCCTGTAGACTTGTTTTGAATCACGTGACCTACCATCACATAGCTGACAGGACTAGAGTGGACATGTGATTCATGGCAGCCAACCCTAGCCTGGCCATGGACCAGGAATTTGAGCTAAGAAATACAGAGAGAATTGACCAGTGGAACTGAAAAAATAAGGATGCCATGAGTTTGAATTAAGACCATGGCCAGTCAAAGCAATGTGTAAGCCCAGTTATGAGTTGGAAATATATGGAAGTTAAAAAAAAAAAAAAAAGGAAATATATGGAAGTTAAAAAAAAAAAGGAAATATATGGAAGTAAGAAAGCCAGTTGTTAGAGGTATAAAACAGGTGGCAAGACAGGAAGACTGTTCTTGTCCTTTCCAGTTCCAGGCCAAATCTATGTTTAAAACATACCCTTCATTTTCTTCAGGGCTTCCCAACAAATTGATACATTAATTGGTGGTTCCCAGAAGGATAAAATATTAGATAGAGGCCCCCCCAACTCCCACCCTCCAGGCAGTTTCCAGCAACAGAAAATGCTGACCTGTGCAAGAAGCTGAGGGCCTTGGCCATACCTGGGCAGCTATCACAAACAAGACAAACTCAACGACCAGTCACTGAACATCCCGTAGCTCCTAGGGACATACTCTACCCAATACACACGTCCACCTGACTGGCTGATGGGCCTGGCAGGCAGCCAACCCCATTAGGTTGGAGTTTGTTTCTTCATTTGGCTGGAGTAAGGAACAAGCTGACCAGGGGAGATTTCTAAGCTGAAGACAAGCCAGACAACAAAGCTGGCTGAGTGAGTGGGCACAAATCTAATTTCTTAAAATGGATTTTGTAAAGACGGCAACTCCTACAAGTTCAAGGGCTTCCCTGACTACTCAGTAAAGAGTCTGCCTGCCATGCAGGAGACTGCCTGCAATTTGCAGGAGATGTGGGTTCGATTCCTGGGTCACGCAGATCCTCTGAAGAAGGAAATGGCAACCCACTCCAGAATTCTTGCCTGGGAAATCCCATGGACAGAGGAGCTGGTAGGCTGCAGTCCATGGGGTCGCAAGAGTTGGACACGACTTAGAACTAAATCACCACCACCACAAATTCCACGTGAGCAGAAGACAAGCCAGACTGCCACCTCTTCTTTGCAGCCAGAGGGCAGAGGAAGGAGTCAGGCACCCTGGCTTCCAGTCCTAGCTCTGTGAACTGAGTTGAATGAGCCCCTTCCCTCTCTGGGCCACAATCTGTCTAGCTGTACAAGGTCTGGCACATGGAAATAAGTCTACCGGATCCTCTAAGGTCTCCAGGACACCCTGTAAACCTACTTTCTTAAACCAGAAGGAAGCATCTGATGAGAGATCTTCCGGCCATGGTTTCTGGGACCTGAAACGAAAACAGAGGGGCATGGCCACCTCTGCCATCGACGTGGGGGTGGGGGCAAAGGAGTGATGAATGACCCACTCATCCGCTACCCCTGGGTGGGCAGGCCTAGAAGCCAAAGGAAGTGATAAGTGTCTGGCCTCGGCACCAAGAGGCCTCATCCTTCTGCACCTGAATCACAGCGGCCTCTCCTCTCCAGAGATCAGAGCTGGAGAAGCAATTAGAGCTTAATTATCTTCATAGGGAGAGAAGGGACCAGGTGGAACTAGCCTAAGCCACAGAGCTAGTCCGTGGAAGGGCAGAAAGCCAAACCCTCCCTCGGGGAAGACAGAAGGTTCTAGCCTTGTGCAGACACGTATCTCAAGAGACTGAGTGCTTCTCACCCTGGAGACGTCAAGGTGAACAAATATAGCATTAAAAGGTAAGTACTCTACAATAATTTTCAAATTAAGAAAAAGCCAGATCTGGAATGAAGGGAGGAGGGAGAGACCGGCAGTTAATAACGAGAACTTTACGCCGGGAGGGAAAGAGCTGGCTATTAATTGGTGGTTCCCAGAAGGATAAAATATTAGATAGAGGCCCCCCCAACTCCCACCCTCCAGGCAGTTTCCAGCAACAGAAAATGCTGACCTGTGCAAGAAGCTGAGGGCCTTGGCCATACCTGGGCAGCTATCACGAACAAGACAAACTCAACGACCAGTCACTGAACATCCCGTAGCTCCTAGGGACATACTCTACCCAATACACACGTCCACCTGACTGGCTGATGGGCCTGGCAGGCAGCCAACCCCATTAGGTTGGAGTTTGTTTCTTCATTTGGCTGGAGTAAGGAACAAGCTGACCAGGGGAGATTTCTAAGCTGAAGACAAGCCAGACAACAAAGCTGGCTGAGTGAGTGGGCACAAATCTAATTTCTTAAAATGGATTTTGTAAAGACGGCAACTCCTACAAGTTCAAGGGCTTCCCTGACTACTCAGTAAAGAGTCTGCCTGCCATGCAGGAGACTGCCTGCAATTTGCAGGAGATGTGGGTTCGATTCCTGGGTCACGCAGATCCTCTGAAGAAGGAAATGGCAACCCACTCCAGAATTCTTGCCTGGGAAATCCCATGGACAGAGGAGCTGGTAGGCTGCAGTCCATGGGGTCGCAAGAGTTGGACACGACTTAGAACTAAATCACCACCACCACAAATTCCACGTGAGCAGAAGACAAGCCAGACTGCCACCTCTTCTTTGCAGCCAGAGGGCAGAGGAAGGAGTCAGGCACCCTGGCTTCCAGTCCTAGCTCTGTGAACTGAGTTGAATGAGCCCCTTCCCTCTCTGGGCCACAATCTGTCTAGCTGTACAAGGTCTGGCACATGGAAATAAGTCTACCGGATCCTCTAAGGTCTCCAGGACACCCTGTAAACCTACTTTCTTAAACCAGAAGGAAGCATCTGATGAGAGATCTTCCGGCCATGGTTTCTGGGACCTGAAACGAAAACAGAGGGGCATGGCCACCTCTGCCATCGACGTGGGGGTGGGGGCAAAGGAGTGATGAATGACCCACTCATCCGCTACCCCTGGGTGGGCAGGCCTAGAAGCCAAAGGAAGTGATAAGTGTCTGGCCTCGGCACCAAGAGGCCTCATCCTTCTGCACCTGAATCACAGCGGCCTCTCCTCTCCAGAGATCAGAGCTGGAGAAGCAATTAGAGCTTAATTATCTTCATAGGGAGAGAAGGGACCAGGTGGAACTCGCCTAAGCCACAGAGCTAGTCCGTGGAAGGGCAGAAAGCCAAACCCTCCCTCGGGGAAGACAGAAGGTTCTAGCCTTGTGCAGACACGTATCTCAAGAGACTGAGTGCTTCTCACCCTGGAGACGTCAAGGTGAACAAATATAGCATTAAAAGGTAAGTACTCTACAATAATTTTCAAATTAAGAAAAAGCCAGATCTGGAATGAAGGGAGGAGGGAGAGACCGGCAGTTAATAACGAGAACTTTACGCCGGGAGGGAAAGAGCTGGCGAGCTCGCATTCCCAAGGCTGCAGCGACAGTTTTCCCAGTAAGGACGCTAAAGACGGCCTGACGGTCAACCGGAGCGGGGCTCAGGGCCCAGGCTGGAGGGATCAAGGGTGCGGTCCGAGCCCAGGTCCTGTCTGTTCCTCTTTGCCGTTGCCGCCAGGGTCTGCGCTGTTGAGCCGGGTGCTGGGAGCCCCCGAAGGCTGGTCCGGGTGGGACCCGCAGGAGCCGGCCCTCCTCCGTGGGAGGCTCCGGCTGGTCCTTATCCCCTCCTGGGCACAGCAGCGCCACGGGAACTCGGGGAGCCCCACGCCGGCTCGAGGCGGGGTGGGCCGTGGACGGGGCACCCGGCGGGGCACCAAGGGGGGCGCCTAGAGTTCTGGATGTGTCCTCTCTCGCCGCCCGGCCGTGCGCCCGCTATCTGAGGCTTTACCTCCGTCTGGAAAATGGGCACAGGGTGTTTTGCGGAGATCGGTCGGGGGAGGGGTGAGGAGCGCGCCGCTCCCAGGCGGGAGATGACTCTCCAGCGCCACCGCGTGGCTGAGGCGGCGCACGGAGCCCACCCCGAGGCGATGGGGATTTCCAGACTCGCCAGCGATCCCAGAGAACCGCAAGTGTTTACGAAAGGAGCAGCGAAGCTTGGCGAACTAGTGAAATGGCAGCTAGCATCTGTTGAACCAAACACTGGGCTTAACGTTTTCCGGTCCTTTTCTCCTGTAAACTCTTAACCATCTTTTAAGCGGATGCAGCTATTATTCCCATCTCATAGCGGAGGAAACTGAGCTTTAGAGAGAATGAGAAACTTGTCCAAGTCCCCAGCTGGCGGGGAGAGCTGACCTATCCCAGCCCCCAACGTTTTACAAGCTAGAGGCTTGGAAGTGTGGAGAGAATGGCCCGGTTTTCCGTGAAGCTGAAATAATCAGGGCTTCGAGGGCCCTCCCACCCCCGGTCGGAGAGTGACTCCTGCGTCCTTGCTCTCTGAGGGGCTGCTGCCTCTCCGTTTTATTGGGTCGGCGAAAAAGCTCGTTTGATTTTTCCGAAAGCTGTTAGGGGAAAACCCGAAGGACCGTTTTGGGCAACCCAGTGTGACGAATGATGTCTGTAGCCGCAAAGGGCAGAAGCCAAAGGACAGAGCTTTTTCTTCTCTGATATCCAGGAGCCTTGGCAGTGAAAGGTGCTTTGGGGCTTGAGAATCACAGACAGAGGAAAGCCGAGTAGTTAGGAGCATCCCGGAAGGGTGCGTTCCAGAAGGACTGGGTTTCAGGCCCTGCTCTGCTTCCAGCTGGCTACGTGATCTTGGGCCAGTTCATGCTCTTCCGTGGGCCTCGGTTTCCCCCCTGTGCAATGTACATTCCTCTAGATGATGTAAACATCCTTACCCCAGCTTTCCTAATAGCCCTCCCCATACGAGCCCCCACCCAGACTGGCCCTGACTTTCCAGAAGCAGCCCTGAAGTGAGGTTGAAGGTCCCAGGTGGGAGTTGTGACCCATCTGAGTTTCCTCCTGAGTTCTGGGCCCTGGACTGGGTCCTGGCAGGGTATCTGGCCTTGGCAGATCAGAGCCATCAGAGGGGAGAAAAGCCCTGTTGCCTTTGAGAAAGGCCTCAGGGAGGGGGGCCTGCATTGTGATGACCTCATCCATTCTATGACATCATCCTCTCTCTCATTCCCACTCCTCCCTGATCAGCTGCTCTGCAAACAACCATCAATCTGAATCCCAAAGGCCTGAGAAAGTCTGTTCTCCAATACCTGCTGCTGATCTTCTGTCTCACCCAGCAAGAAGCACCATGAAATTGGAATTCACCGAGAAAAACTACAACAGCTTCATACTGCAGAACCTGAACAAACAGAGAAAACGCAAAGAGTACTGGGACATAGCCCTGACTGTGGACCACCATGTCTTCTTTGCACATCGCAATGTGCTGGCTGCAGTCTCCCCGCTGGTGAAGAACCTCATCTCCAGCCATGACATGAAGACCACCGATGAGCTCTTTATCACCATTGACCCCAACTACCTGAGTCCGACCACAGTGGACCAGCTCCTAGACTACTTCTACAGCGGCAAGGTGGTGATCTCAGAACAGAATGTGGAAGAGCTCCTTCGTGGGGCCCAGTATTTCAACACACCCCGCCTTCGAATTCACTGCAATGACTTCCTGATCAAGTCCATCCGCCGTGCCAACTGCTTGCGCTACCTCTTCTTGGCTGAGTTGTTTGAGCTCAAAGAGGTGTCAGACTTGGCCTACTCTGGCATTCGTGACAACTTCCACTACTGGGCCAGTCCTGAGGGCTGCGTGCACTTCATGCGCTGTCCACCTGTCATCTTCGGCCGCCTGCTCCGAGATGAAAACTTGCACGTACTCAACGAAGACCAGGCTCTCAACGCACTTATCAATTGGGTATGCTTCCGGAAGGATGAGCGGGAGAAGTATTTCAAGAAGTTCTTCAATTACATCAACCTCAATGCTGTCTCCAACAAGACGCTAATGTATGCCAGCAACAAGCTGCTGTGCATGGAGAACAGCTCAGCCCACTCAACCCTGATTGAAAGTGTCCTTGTGGACCGCAAGCAGGAGAGGCCGACCAGCCTGCTGAGCTACCAGCGCAAAGGGGCCCTGCTTGATTCAGTGGTCATCCTAGGGGGCCAGAAGGCCCATGGCAAGTTCAACGATGGCGTGTTTGCTTACATCATCCAGGAGAACCTGTGGTTGAAGCTCTCAGAGATGCCCTACCGCGCAGCGGCACTGAGCGCCACCTCTGCCGGCCGCTACATCTACATCTCTGGTGGAACCACGGAGCAGATTTCGGGGCTGAAGACGGCTTGGCGGTATGACATGGATGACAACTCCTGGACCAAGCTGCCTGACCTGCCAATTGGGCTTGTCTTCCACACCATGGTGACCTGCGGGGGAACAGTGTACTCGGTGGGGGGCAGCATCGCCCCGAGGCGCTATGTCTCTAACATCTACCGCTATGATGAGCGCAAGGAGGCCTGGTGCCTGGCAGGGAAGATGAGCATTCCCATGGACGGCACAGCGGTGATCACCAAGGGGGACCGGAACCTGTATATTGTCACTGGGCGCTGCTTGGTGAAGGGTTACATCTCCCGGGTCGGGGTGGTGGACTGCTTCGACACCAACACTGGGGAGGTGGTCCAGTGCATCACCTTTCCCATTGAGTTCAACCACCGGCCCCTGCTCTCTTTCCATCAGGACAACATCCTCTGCGTGTACAGCCACCGGCAGAGTGTGGAGATCAACCTGCAGAAGGTGAAGGCCAGCAAGACGACCAGCTCCGTGCCTCTTTTGCCCAACAGCTGCCCCTTGGATGTGTCCCATGCTATATGCTCTGTGGGAGACAACAGAGTGTTTGTGTGCGGAGGTGTCACCACAGCCAGTGACGTCCAGACAAAGGACTATACCATCAACCCAAACGCCTACCTGCTGGACCAAAAGGCAGGCGAGTGGAAGACCCTAGCCCCCCCACCGGAGGCGTTGGACTGTCCTGCCTGCTGTCTAGCCAAGCTACCTTGCAAGATTCTTCAAAGGATTTAAACAACTTTTTAAGTGGGAGAATAAGTAAATGCATTATTATTCACAATTTAATGAGAGAAAAAGCGAGGAAGGTGGTGGTTCCTTTTTAGTCTCTGTTCGGCCCCGAAGGTGGAGATCCTGGGCTCTGGCTACTCCCAGTTGGGGGAGATTCAGGGATGCCCTGTTACTGGAGGGATCCAGCCTGGGGCCGCAAGAGGCCCTGGTGGGTGGGATTGAGGCATATCTCGGGCACTGGCTCCCGGTAGGTGAGGATTCAGGGCTACTCCATCATTGGCGGGATCCAAGCAGAGGCTGGAAGGGGATCCTGGGTGGGTGAGTTCGAGGCATCTCCCAGGCACTGGCCAAGGTGATGTCTGAAAGGCCCCCTATCCTGTGCCCCTGTAGTCACCTTGAAGACGCATGCTAGACTGACAGGTAAAGCACCTGCTTAGAGGTGTGAAGCCTGAGGCTCCTCCCACACTCATTTCTGAGTCTGCCCAGGAAGGCAGGGGAGGGCCCATCCCAGGTCCGGAGAGGAGCCCCCTGGGTTAGGGAGGGAGAAGGTGGTTTGAGCCAGGCTCGGGGATGCGGGCAGAGGGTGTGGGGTTGGGACGGGAGAGGAGGCAGGGTTGCTTGGCTGTTGGGCTGGACCATGCAGCTCTGGTGTGTCTCATTAGTGGGCAAGTTGGAGGGTTGGTTACACGTTTCCAGTAAGCAAGTTTCATTGGGAACTTTCTCCAGGAATACAAGGTCTGAGGAACTGGGGGTGGAAGAGAGGCAAGTAAAGAGAGAAAAAAGAATCCTGCATCTCTCTTGGAGAGAGAGGGGAGATGATGGGATGAGAGTCGGGATGGTTTAGTAGTTAGGGGCCTGGACACTGGGGACAGATGGCCTGGTTCAAATGCCAGTTCCACCACTCACTGGGTAATCCTGAGAAAGTTATTAACATCTCTGTGCCTTAGTTCCCTTGTCTGTAAAGGGGCGACAATGAGAGCACCTGCCTCACTAGGTGATGTGATGTGTGAAGTGCCTAGGACAGTCCCTGGCATATATTCAAGTGCTGCAGGAGTGCTTTTATAAAAGAGAAAAAAGGGAAAGAGGGACAAGGCAAGGGGCTAGGTTCCTGGACCCTGATATCAAGCTAGGCTCCATAAAATGTTTTGGGACTCCCTACCCCAAAGCCTAGTGAGCGCTCCTCAGTTCTAACGACCTCCGCTTCCCTTTCATTCGTGTGTTTCCATATAATCCTGAACAACCGAGAAGAAACTGACCCAGTCCCTGGACACCATATGTGACCCTCATCCATCCATTCACTTGTCCCTTCATGGATTCACTTGCTCAGCCACTCAGCACTTCACACACACAGACACACACACTCACTGGGGCCTCTCTGCGCCAGCCCCTGTGCTGGGTGCTCGGGCCATTGGGATGACACGGACAGTGCCTGTCCCTGGGAGGGAAAGTCCACCAGTGCCATGCAACAGGAGCAGTACGCAAGCCACATATGGGATGCCATATTAACAAGGTAAAAAGAAATGAGTGAAATTAATAATGTATTTCACTTAATGCACTATACCTAAAAATTAACATGTAAACAAATAATCAATGGAAACATCTATTAATGAGGTATTTAACATTTTTGTTTTGCATATTGAGTCTTTAGAACCCAGTGTGTTTTACACTTACAGCATGGCTCATTTTGGACTGACTACATACCTCAAGGCCCACGAAGCTAGTGGCTCCTGTATTATACATCTGGGGTACTTTACATAGCCTCGTGGTCCGCATCTGCTCCATCCCCTTGATTTTCCCACTCAATCCTGCTTCACCCACTCAGCTGCAGCTTCCTGGCTTCCCTGAAGGGTGGCCTCTGTCTTCAAAGCCTACCCCTCTGCCCAGGTCTTGCTTCGCTCCTTCCAGTCCAGGACCTTGGACTTCCCAGCTGACACTCTCTCCCCTGGGAACGTACCCCACATTTCTCTCTCCTCCAATTCTGGGCAGCCCCCGCCTCTCCTCACCTCATTGCATCTCCCAACTCTAAGAGGGTCCTACAGACCCCCACAGCGAAGCCCAGCTGCCCCACGCCCACCCCACCAGGCTTGGCTGACCCAGTCACCTCTTCTGACACCAGCTGGCCATTCCCTACTGCTGATTCTCCAACCTTCCTGGTGTCTGGGGCCCTGCCCTCCTTTCTGTTTCTTCTCGGCCACTTACCTCTCATTTTGCCACCAGAACTCCAGAGAAATAGAGGTCAGACGATCTAGCACCGTAAGTGATCTGCTGTCCCCCCAAAAAACCTCTCCAGAGCTTCTGCTGCTTTTCTGCACCTCAGAGGAAGAGGTGTCCCTCCCTGATTCAAAGCAATCTCCTGTCTTGTTGTTCTGTTTCCTTACAACTTTCCTGGCTCCCCAGTTCCCTCCCTCTCCACATGTCCTTCCCGGTGTCTTCTCTTCGTTCCAGAAATATTCTCAAGGTTCTGCTAGCCTGAAGACAAACCCTCCTCAGTTTTGAGGTCCAGCTCTTGCGATCTGCCCACCGCTTTCCTCAGCTGGGTTTCCTAAATGTCACTTCTGCTCTCTGGTTCCAGACCAAACTCTAACCCACTCAATCTGGCTTCGTTTCCCGCCACACCACCAAACTGTCTCCTGATGACACTGTTGTCTTTTTCTCTGCCTTCTTTCTTTTCCTCGCAGTGGGATTTCCTTCCTTCCTTTCCTTTTAGAATAGTGAGATTATAATTTGATATATTAACCATGTGGTCCTTCCTTGATCCTTCAAAGTTAGACCATGAAGCTGAAGCTTCAGGGTTTCTTGCCCTGAAGGTTGGCACAGCTGAATGCAGGACTCAGAGCCCAACTCTTGGCTTCTGTTGCCAGAAGAGCTTCAGCAATTCACAGCAGAGATTATGCTCTTGAAAGACATGACTTTTGTACCATAATCCATGTCTTCAAACTGGAATACATAAAGTCTTTCCAAGGGAAATTCAGACAAGCTTAGTTTGAAGGGAATCAGTTTTCAGATCCTGAACTTTTCTCCTAAAATTGATCTGAGAATACACCTGTGGTGGAGATTTCATTCTAGTTCTCTTTTCCCATCTTCCTTTTCAAAATGATCTGTCGAACATTTTACACACACACACAGAGCAACATTTAACCACTCTGAATCTTCCCAGGGTGCACCGCCCCGGATGCCATGTGAGGATATAAACTAGTGTCAGTGAAGTGTCGGCGAAGATTCCTTTCATCAAGACACCAATATCAAAGAAGAATTTGTGGTATTAATACTTTTCTGTCTTATCTAGGCAGTGTCTGTGTTGACGTGTGAAGCCTGGTGTTTTAAACTGGGGTATTTTGGTCCAAGATAGGTCTTTAAAAATGTTAAGTAGCACAGTGCTATGAGGATATATTTTTAAAAATCATTATTGACTAGTACTTCACCCGTTTTAAGTGTAGAATTCAGTGGTTTTTATATATTCACAGAGTTCTACAGTCATTGCAACAATCAATTTTAGGACATTTTCATCACTCCAGAAAGAAATCTTGTACCCCATAGCTGTAACTCTCTAGCCCCCTCAATTCCCCAGCCTCAGGCAGCCAATAATTTAGTTTCTGACTGTATGGATTAGTCTATTCTAAATATTTCGTATAAAATGTGACGTATTTTTCTGGCTTTCACTTTAACATAATGTTTTCAAGTTTCATCCATGTTGTAGCATGTGATTCATTCCTTTTTATGGCTGGATACTACTCCATTGTGAGGTTATACCACATTTTATGTATCTGTTTATCAGTTATAGACAGACACTTGGTTTGCTTCCACTTCTTGGCTATTATGAATGGTGCTCAATGAACATTTGTGTCCAAGGTTTTGTGTTCACACAAGTTTTCATTTGTCTTGGGTATACACCTAGGAATAGAATTGTTAGATCAAATCTTAACTCTGTGTTTAACCATCCGAGGAACTGCCAGACTGTTTCCCAAAGCAGCTGAGTCATTTTACATTCCCATCAGCAATGTATGAGGGATCCAACTTTTCTGCCCCCTCACCAGCACTTCTTATTATCTGTATTTCCAGAAACAGTCATCCTAGTGAGAGAAAGCAGCATCTCGTTGTGGTTTTGATTTGCATTGCCCTGATGCCTAGTGATGCTGGATATCTTTTCAGGGGCTTATTTTTGATGACAGTTGTTATCAGAGAAAGTATTATCCTTGAGGGAGAGTTCTCAAGGTGTAAAGGTAGTGGGACTCAGAAACATGAGAGTCTTTGTGCCATTGTTTCATTCAGGTCACAGAATCGTAACCAGTCTCTATTCCTTCCTACCAAGCTGTCTATCTTAGAATATTAAAGAGTTTTAAAAGTGTGTTAGAAAATATCCACTACCAAGCCCATCCTCTCTGCATTTTCACCATTCTCAGTAGTGAGAAAATGCTCCAATTCTCCTGGGTCTATTTGGTACCATTTAAAAGATGACATAAAAATTCTATACTTACTTTCAAAAGAATAGTGTTACATCTTTGAACAAAAGTAAATAAATCGCGTTAGTTAGAACGGCTTGTTATTAGAATGCTTTATTCAGAGTTGTAAGAAACATTTAAAACATTTTTTGTTAGGAATATATAACCCACATAGAAAAGCAACAATACATAATTGTATAGCTTAATGAATTATAACTATTGTAAATATCCATGTAACCATTACTGAGTTCAAGCAATAGAATATCGCCAATACCTCAAAAGTTTCCAATGTGGCCGCTTCCTGATTACATCCCCTCTCTGCTCTCTGAGCTTTATGATGATGCCTTCCTTCTGCTTTTCTTTGATCTTCGTTTCCTGACCAGGGATATAACTCAATCAAGCCCTCGGCAGTGAAAGCACAGGCTCCTAACCACTGGACCGCCAGGGAATTCCCTGTTTCTTGCTCAGTATTCCTGCCTGGAGAATCCCCGTGGACAGAGGTGCCGGGCCAGCTACAGTTCATGGGGCTGCAAAAAGTCCGACACGACTGAGCGACTAACCACAGCACATAGCTTTACCGTCTAAGTAGGCATTTCTAATACATAGATTAGTTCAGCCTGCCTTTGAACTTTACATAAGAGACTTGTACTG